CTGTTATTGTTTTACCTTTTTCAAGATAGTCGATCAACACAATTCCATGACTGTCCCAAAAAAACAGTCGTCATCACTTTTCCCGCCGATAAAACCGTCTTCGCTTTCTTCGGAGCAGGTTCACCCTTCGCAACCCACTGTTTTGATTGTTCTTTCGTTTCAGGAGTGAAGTGGTGGACCCAAGTTTCATCAACCGTTATTAATCGACGTAAAAAATCCGACTCGTTTCGCTTAAACCGCTTCAACAGGACCTTAGAAATGTTCATTCGAATGCGTTTTTGATTCAGAGTGAGCAAGCACGGCACCCAACGCGCGATTAACTTACGCATGCCTAATTCTTCAGTCAATATATGACAAACACGTTCTTTTGATATGCCAACAGCCTCTGCTATCTCCCTAATCTTAATTCGACGGTTGTCCATTATCATTTGATGAATTTCTTCGATGTTATCGGTGGTGGTCACAGTTGTTGGCCGTCTTGAACGCTTGTCATCAGCTAAGCTGGTACGACCACGTTTAAATTCAGCTACCCATCTTTTCACGGTGGCAAATGATGGGGCAGAGTCCCCGTAAACAGCGTCCAACTCGGCTTTAATTTGCGTAGACGTATTGCCTTTCAAATGCAAGAGTTTAATTATAGCACGATATTCAATTTTTTTCATTTTTACAAAATGACGACACAAATGATTGTCAAACAAGAACTGAACGTCCAAAGTGGCCACAATTGTCACAGATATCTTTCGTAAGTATCACGATTATAATACCAGAATGACTTTGACGAGTAACGCCATCTTCATGATGAGGCTCAAAACTTTTCAGACGACCCTCGTATGTACATCCATATATATCATATTTTTGTAATTATTCAAACTGCGCGCCGAAATTTTTCTGGACTCTATCTAATGCATTTAAACTACTGCAATAATATATATGGAATGGCTTAGGACGCTCGTACGGATTACAAGAGGTCCGGGTTCAAGTCCCGGCCGAGGTAATATTTTTCGCAATAAATTTATTTAAAGTTTTTTTTAGCACATTGTCAATTTAATTTAACTTGTGATATTATTGCAGGAGTTTAATTGTGTTAGATAGAGTCCGGAAAAATTTTGGCGCGCAGTTTGAATAACTACAAAAATATGATATATATGCATGTACATATATATGGATATAAATAATCTACTGGGAATTGTTTAGGCAAAAAAGATCTAGCTTTGACCGTCATATGCTTGAATATTCTTATACTTAGTGTTTAATTCTTGTCGGTCCGAATAAAATCTTATTATTGTTTATATAAGCTGTCTGAATTTATATTGCGTTGTATCTACAATAAAGTGTGCTTAATCGCATCTTTAGTGTTTTTCAAGCTTTCCTCTCGATTCGCTTCCTAACCTGTTTTAATATGATCTATCAAACTATAGTATATGTACATTGGATATACGTAAAAAATACAAATTTTGAAACTTTTTGCTTTAAAAACACATTCTCGGCATTAACAATCTGCTAAAGCAGTGAATTTGTGTTTTTAAAGCAGTGAACCACTATTGTGACCGATTTCCTATCTTGAATAGTTGTCAACTTTGACAATCAATATCTCGATTCATAAAGTACAGTGGCCTTCCCTTTTTTGTCAAATCTTTATTTTCATGCGAAAGCATATCGATTCAGTGTATTTTTATCAAAATTTGAGGTGGACAGAGTCTTCTTAACGTTTACCTTTCAAACCGACTATATTTAGGGTACATTCCGATATTTACTGCCAGTGATGAAACTATATAGTATATGTTACATGCGGTATAAATTTTCAGCACTGGCAGCGAATATCGGAACGATATTCACCCCTAGATATCTCACGCTCTATATGAAAATGTAGCCGATAGAAGTCGTTTGCAGCGAGATTCGAAACATTGAAATTTGGATTTTTCTCCCACTCTGTTACCAGGTGTACTGATGGAAGTAGGGGGAAATATCTGGATATATATATCTGTGAAGTCATACCTTTATCCTTCTCCAGAAATAATAATCAAGTACGGTAAAGTCTGGTAATCGAGGTGAATAATTGATTAGACCGTATTTGCCTATTCATTTGTTAGGAAACATAGACCCGTACTTAGAACGCGCTTACAACAATGTTAGCGCGCTAACATATTATACTTTACGTTACGCATATTATAGCATTTTAGAGATAAAAGCGCAATCTGAATACGAGCCATAGTGTTTAGTATTGCACGAACATCCATCTTATTGAAATCATATGTCTAAGCGCAATTTCACATATATCGATTATTTGTCATTTTTGTAATACAGTGCTACATTTGGATCACTACTCCATTGAAGCTAGAATATATAATATCACAATGCGCAATTTATTTAAATTGGAAATCGTAAAATTGACGCAAAAATATTAGATGCCAACATCTATTTTGATTGAATATTGGCTTCTTCGTTTATTTGTATTAATATTTTTTATGAATATTTTATAGTTTATTTTTTTGAGGGTTAAGTTAATTCAAAGTTTATTTACAATAAAAAGGATTAATAAGAGGAAATACGAAAATTTTGAATCATTGATTGAAAAACTTCATAGAAGTGAATTTTAGATTTCCTAAAGAATCCGTGAATAATTAAGTTTAATGATTTTCCTTTTTTAGACGTGTTTTAGTTCACGCGGCTGTAGCCTCCGTACATCGGAAGCCCATAGACGCGAGTCCTTAGGCTCTCCTGCTGGATATTGGCTTCGTTGCAATCCCACAACAGGTCTGCCAAGTCCCTGTGACTGTCGGTTATCAACTGATCTGTATTCTTCGCGATATCGCGGCTCTCTAACATCGATACCGTCGCCCGGTCTCGAAGTTGTTGGGGGTCCTCCGCGAAGGCATTCCTGGAGAGCGACAGCGGCATCCCTCGACACGTGGAGAGTTCCGGTTGCGACTTCCACACCACGTCCGACATGGTCCTCGATGCCATCTTCTCCAACACACGTACATCCTCCATCGACTTTCTCCAAAATTTCAAAAAATACACCAAAGAGAACGCGATCCAAGGTGACTTTTCAAGGTACGGTATATATAAAGTGTCCCATAATTTTTTACAAAATACTCGTGCAGATAGAGCAGAATAAACTGAGTTGAAGGATTCTGTACCATTTCACAATTTTTGCAATAGTTAACTAGAGAAATTAATTATTAAAGATCACAGAATGAGCGCGTATTCTCTCAGTCTACTGCTAAATTCAAATGCGCAGCGAGATAGGACTCATAATCGCTCAGCATCATAAATTGGGGAGTTGTTTACTACAAGCGACAATAGCATCATACAAGTGGAAAGAAAACACCTTCACGCGTAGAACGATCGTATCTTCGCAAATTTGGTAGATCGAACGACTACGTGCATTCGGCGATTTATTTTCGTAATAAATTTCTGTTAATTATTGCAAAAATTGCAAAATTGTATAAGATTTTTTGACTTTAATCCGTTCTATTTACACAAGCATTTTGTCAAAAATCATGTGCGTGCATGTTGGGAGAGGCTCTTAGTTCTATTTTACGCTTTAAAATCTTGTATTCCCGCCTCGTCTTCGTATAATTTCTTGTTATATATTAATGTAACTTATATATTAATGTGGCCCGAGGAATTTCTCGCCATATTCGGTGTAGTACTATTTCTCATTGATAATTCCTTCAAAGTTGTTTTCATCACATCCTACATACGAGTATGTCGGATTTAAACTCCAGTAAAAATAATACTGTAGATATAAACCGTAATTAAAAATACTAAAGCTCATGACACATACAAGGACGTAAGGCCGTAACACGCAAGCAGTAAGTGAATTGACCAATCACAGCAGAGACCATAAGGCCAGTAGCGAATCCAATGTTACGATTTCCTTACTGATTACGTCTTACGGACTTACGTTTTTCTATGTGCTCCCGGCTTAACAGCACTTGCGGTACAGTGCTTACGTCAGTTTAAATTTATTCGAGTTATTGTTCAGTGTGAGATGATCGGAAGGAAGCTATGAAGTTTTTGAAAGACTGCTAACGGATCTTTAAGAACTAGAAGCAGCGCCGTATATGATAAAAAGTTCGTCAGGTTTCACTTAGAGCTTACATCAATATATAATACATGCATTTATAAGAAATCATTCGAAGATGAGACGGGAGTACGAGATTTTGAAGTATAAGTGTACTCACGCGTCAATCTCAACACATACGCACACATACCCATACGTACACACATATGCACATACGCATATGATGTGCAAAATTCGAGTAGCAACCTCTTCTTGATGCGCATCGATTAATCCTAATGCTGGAGGTAACTAAAAAAAAATATATAGGTAACTTTGATACGTCGCATCTCCGCAACAAAAAATCGTAAAAAGCTTTATTTTTTTTTAATTTGCAAGAAACAGTTAATACTTTATAATGATTATCATGACATTGCGAAAAAAATTTATTGCACTCGACAGAGTGCGCCAAATTATGCAATTTGTTGGAGACGTAACACATTCTTACTTTAAAAAGAGATAGTGAGCGGAAGTAAAGATAAATTTAATTGAACGTTTCTTAAGGGAAATCTTGAAGACGATTAGTCATATTGTAACTGGCACTTACACACAAATGATTTACGTGTCATTGACACATCACTATACATATATATTACTACACATCAATAGCTCACGCACATATACACATAAATAATAATAATTTTAGTTTTAATTTATACATAAATAATAATAATTTTAGTTTTAATTAGTCTAAGTTCAATTTTAAGAATTCCACGTTGTTTCTTTCTGCAAACTACTAGTCTGTGGACTACTATTTCGTAAGTACAGATTTTACAGCTTTTATACGAAGCAAATGTCATGATGTGACAGCTCTAGAGCGCCATATTGGACTAAAAAATAGTAAAGAAGATCTCGATTTTGAAATTTTTCTCGCCATCTCACAGACACGTATTAATGCGTATACTTTAATCCTGAAAAAGGATTTTCAAACCAGTAAAAGAGGAAGAAAATAATTGTTATACAATAATTATATGATTTAGTCGGTTTAGCTCCTGAATACTTACAATCAACTAAAACTCCGCGCTAATGGTAACGATACAGAATCAGTGATAGAAATTAGGTACGCGATCAGCGTCACAAGTCGGCAACTTGATAATCGGTAGATACACATACAAGCACGAGTCCATGTCTGTGTGCTCGCCTTCGGCGCGTTGGCAAACGAGACAGCGAGAGAACGTCTTCGCTCTAATCGCTTGTTTCAAACGATCGAAAATACTTTCTCAACAATCTCTGCCGCTCAGCGTGTATCAATAAAAGGCGAAGGGTTGTTTAAGTTTTAATAAATTGTATACCCCTCCCATTAATCCAAAATAATATAAATCATGTCAAAACGTGACAGTTTACGAAATATTAATTATTTATGATTTTTTATGCGCGTTATATACCTCGTTCATAAACTCGAAATTCGAGAAATTGATGTAATCGAGCTCATAAGGTACGAGATCGGAACACTGTAGGTCTCAAGTTCAAATCCCGTTTTTTCCTTTTTTTCATAGCTTTTTTTGTAATTATTTACATTAGGGGACCCTCCCCCCTCCAATGACCTTGACATATGTTATCATGGTTATGATCCTGAGTGACCTTCAACAAGTTTTAGTCATATTGTAACTCGCTCGTTATTCGTTAAAAAGTTATTACCAAAAAAATTTGAAAAATGATGTCTCTTTTTCACTATATAAAACAGAAATTTCCTCATTTGTTCTTGTACATTAATTGATAACGGACCTTCATAATGCTACGCTTTGTTCTCCTACTAAAGTATGTACAGCCGATATGTAAGTTTACATTTAATTGTAATGTTAAGGTCATTGCTTATTAGAATTTTTATTACTATAGTAATGGTATCATTTTATCGATTGACTCACGTACACAATATTTAAACAAATACTATAACATTTTAAGATTTTGAATTTGGACACATCTTTATTATTGTAATTTTACCTAGCGACTTATTTTAATATTGTACAATTTATATTACGTCAGTTTATTACTGAAGATGACCAAAATATTGTGTTCAAAACATTTAGATTTTAATAAACATTTTTTTACATACGAACCTGTGTTGGCTCAAGGCTTTTTTTCATTTAATTGTATCACTTGAGCCTTAACACTCCTTGTATTAGAAATTTTCTGCTTTAAAATATATTTTACGACTCTCTACGCAAAGCGAGTCCCACTCCACCTTCTCCCCTGCTTAGGAGCGTTCAATTTTCCATGCGAAGCGAATTTCACCCCACCTCCTTCCTTGCCAACAAGGGTACGACTTTTCATTCAGATAGATCTTGCTTCGCGTGAAAAGTCGAGCGCCCCTTGACATGTGGATGGTAGGCTGAAACTCGCTTCGCGTGGAAAGTCGGATGGCCCTTGGCAGGAGGGAGGTGAGGTGGAACTCACTTCGCGTGGAAAGTCGTATTAATCGGTCCATTCTGTACTTTTCACCCGCTGCTTAGTTATCTGACTTTTCATATAAAGCAGACAAATAATTACTAGATTTGATTGTTAATAATTTTAAAACTAATAACGAGCGACAGTTAAAACTTGGAGCTGATTCAAGGTTATGACATATGTCAAGGTCAAGATCACTGGGGAGGGTCCTCTATTGTAAATGATTACCGTTTTTATTTCTGAAATAAGTAATCAATTTAATAGTAAACGCATATTAGATAAAAAATATTTTCATATAATTTTTTAAATAATTTATGTATGAGAGTTTTAAAACAACAACCATAGGAAAGAAACCCATGTCACTTTCAATAGACAAAAAATTATTTTAAAATTGCGCAACATATAAAGGCTTTTATTTGTATGTTATTAAATTACATTGGCATCATCTTTATTATTTATATTAATAATCAGACTGCCGAAATTTTGTTTATTGTCAAAATTTTAAATTAGGATGATAGAAAAGAACAGTTAAAACAAAATTATTTAGTACCAACCGCAATTGATAAACATAACGTCATTATGAAAACACGTTTTTTTCGGATTTTTTTGATAGAAAAACAGATTTCATTTAAGGTAAACGTCTCAGTGACAAGTTTGCGATTTGCGATCCGCGTTCTGCGTTTTATGTAGAATCGGTTTAACTATTATCCGAATTCTATGTTCTGAGCAGGGAATGGAAGTAA